CGAAATATTCCAATTACAATTTAGAATCGAAATTCGATATTTAGAGTTTGTTAAAATCATGAACCGAAACGGACGGTTCATGTTCCGAACTGAAAAAATAAAATACATTTATTGTTGAATTTAGACTATTTTAAAATAAAAAATACAATTTTAAAATAAAGACGGTTCAAAATCGCGAATCAGATCCGGAACCGCCGGTTCACGGTTCAAGATTCGATTGCTTTAATATCCGGTTCAATTCAAACCGAACCGTGGTCATCCCTACGTATACGCAATAATTTGTTGGAGTAGTAAAATAAATAAAATGTTTATTTTAAGGGTATAAATGTCAATTTAATATATCGGGGGGGGGGGGGGGGGGGAAAGCACCACTTTTAGAATAATTGAGGGGGCTAATGTGCTTACCTAAATAATTGAGGGGGAAAAAGTGCTATAAGTATATAACTCAGGGGTAAAAAGTGCCATTATCCCTATTTTTCATTAGATAAAGGAGGGAAAAATTAAAACAAAATTTAAGCATTTTATTAATATTTTTATAAACTTTCATTTATTTTAATGTTTTTTTCCCTCCTCATTTAATATTTATTTAGGCCATGAATACTTTTCTCTTTACGGAAATGAATAAAATTAATAAATATGATCGATTAATTGGATACTAAGTGACGTGGAATTTTTAGACATACCATTATTTCTGGATGTGCTTACAGTGGCGGACTCAGAAAACTTTTTCAGTGGGGGGCGAAACACATTAAAACAAAATAGATATTTTGATAAAAAATAAAACACTTAAAAGTACAGCCATAAATATTGTTGTATTGTTGGATGGCACTTAATAAGTAGTAGGCAATATAAGGGAGTAAATTCCTTGCACAAATACTGAAGTTTTGAACCCTGGCCACCTGCAAAGACAAGCTATACGCCTTGCCACCTAATCTACTAATCTATTGTTATCATTTATTTATTTTATTATACTTATACTAAAACTTGTACTATATATACATATATGGAGTTGGGGTGGGGGTGGGGTGAGTGGGGGAAACTGCCCCCATGTTGGGTCCGCCCTGTGTGCTTAATACAAGTATGGTAAAATTCTATTTCAATAATAACAAAATACTAATAAGGTAATAAATATATCCTAAAATTCTATTTCAACAATGGTATAATTAACAAATTGAGTCACAAACGCAACAACAATAATATTAGTTGAAAAATAATATAATAAATAAATAAATAGTATGCACCATGCATGGTGCATTCGGATGCAAAAATAGCGTCGTTTTGACGTCTAACTTTAAAAAAATAATAATAATTCAAAATTGCATAACTGCACATCCATAATTTCATCACATTCATAATTTCATAACTATAAATCCAGAATTGCATAACTACACATCCATAATTTCATAACTATAAATCCAGAATTACATAACTACACATCCATAACTTCATAACTATACATCCAGAATTGCATAACTTCATAACTATATATCCAGAATTGTATAACTACACATCCATAACTTCATAACTACACAACCAGAATTGCATAACTATACATCCAGAATTGCATAACTATACATCCAGAATTTCATAACTAAAAATTCAGAATGAATGAACTAGAATAACATAATGTTGTTGCTAGGAATCGAAACTGATTTTTTTTAAGTAGGCCGGACGCGCGTTTTGATACAAAACGACGTCGTTTTTGCATCCGTATGCACCATGCATGGTGCATACGGATGCACAACATAATTTTCCCTAAGGGAGTGTTTAGATTGCTGGAAAATATTTTAAATATAAAAATACTTACTAATAAAAAATAATTTTAAAATATTTTTTAATCCCTAAACATGAGAAAATTTTATATTTAAAAAAATACAATTTGATAAATATCATAAATTAATTATTGCAATATCATTTATGTTTACAACGAGAATAATTAAAAAAAATCAAATATGTGAACCAATGATCATAAATAAATTAATTATTGCAATATCATTTATGCTCCATGATTGGCCTGGAAATTTAAAGTTGCTCCATTCACGAAGGCAAGGATTAAACATTTAACCTTTGGTTTAAGTCCCTTACAGTCAACCACACCTTCCAAGTTCTTAGTGAAATAACTTTAATAAAAGTAAAATCCTCCTTTACAATATTCTAGCCCAAATTAATATGAATGTTAATTAATTACTAAAAAATAATAAAGCTTAATTGGTAACAAAATTTTATATAAAAATTAACTAATATCTAATGAATTGTTACCACATATTAAAGTCAATATGTACATAAAAATGGAAAATGATTACCAAATTCTGAAAATAATTAAATTATTATAATTGTGAAAATAATGGATACAAATTCTGCGTAACAAATGAGAAAATTTGTTTGAAATTCTGCATAATTTTATAAAGAAATAATAATTTATTAATTATTATTTACACCAATTTATATTTATACTATTAATAAAAGTAAAAATCCTCATCTTCCACATTCCTGTCCAAATTAATATGAATATTAATTAATTGATAAAAAAATTAATAAAGCTTAATTGGTAACAAAATTTTGTATGAAAATTAACTAATATTTAATGAATTTTTATCACAAATTGAAGTTAATATGTACTTAAAAATGGAAAATAGTTATCAAATTCTGAGAATAATTAAATCATTATAATTGTGAGAATAACAGAAACAAATTCTGCATAATAAATGAGAAAATCCATTTGAAATTCTATGTAATTTTATAAGGAAATAATAATTTATTTATTATTATTGAAACCAATCTATGTCCATACTTAAAATGAATATTAATACTTGAATATTAATAAATTACTGGAATTTTTTTTTATGAAAATAAGGCGAATTGGAAAAGGAAATGAATATTAATACTTCAATATTAATAAATTATTAAAAATATAAAAATTATTGGTATAAAATGTATTAATAAAAATGTAAAATGAAGTTTGCATCTCAACTTTTAACCGAGATGGAAAGAAATATTAATCTTGGTTATATATTTTATAAAATGTAAAGTTAGTGGAAATATATATAAAAAAAACTGTTATTAATAATTAATTAATTAATTAATATGTATTAAAAAGAATAATTGACTAAGAATAAAAATGACACAAAATTTAGGGCAATTGAAATAGGAAATGACTATTAATAATGAAATAGGAAATGACTATTAATAATTGGCTGAAAATGAAAAATACTTCCAAACTGACTCATATAGTTATGTAAAGATATATATTTAAAAATTGAAAATGGAATATAATCATTTAGTATCCACAATTTATAAGGAAAATTTTGTAATTAAATATGAAAAATGTTTTGCAATACGAGATGGAAATATAACAGGGCGTTTGGTTGGAGGGAGGGAGGGAGGGAGGGGGGGGGGGGGGGAATTACGTGGGAAATGAATTGCAAACAGAAATAGAATTACTGGAAATTTCAATTCAAATGTTTGGTATACATGGGAATTGAAAGGAAATAAGTAGTATAAAGTCCAAAATGTCCATTGTTGTTGTGGTATTAATTTTAGATTAAAAAAAAGAGGGGTAATTTTGTCTCATCACTAGCTTTTTTTTTTTTCTTCCTAAAATCCCAGGAATTAAAATCTAGAGGGGGACATGAGATTTTAATTCCATGAAAATGCGGGAATTGCAATTCCTTCTAACCAAACTAAGGAATTTTATGGCATTTGAAATTAGGTGGGAATTAAGTGGGAAGGGAATTTAAATTCTCTCCAACCAAACGGCCTGTAAGGTTTAGCCGAGATGGAAATAATATTTTAATCGGTATGAAAATTAATAATTTTGGACACTTGATGCGTACATCTACGCATTGACTATTAATTTTGGGCAATTATTTGATCGAATTCAAGCAATGATAACATTAGAAAATACAATCGATCCAACTCAATTCATCAATTTCATTATATAATTATATATCGATCCAAATATTCTTATAATATTTTAACAAATATATTCCGTGCATCGCACGGGAGCAAATACTAGTAGGCTAATAAACATATATCCTAAAATTATATCTCAACAATGGTAAAAGTATAAATCTCCATAAATAGAAATGAACATTTAGATAAAGGAGGGAAAAATTAAAACAAAATTTAAGCATTTTATTAATTTTTTCTAAGACAATTCATTTATTTTAATGTTTTTTTCCCTCCCCATTTTAATTTTTATTTAGGCCATGATCTTTACGGAAATGAATAAAATTAATACATCCTTTATATAATAAAGCTATATGGTTTGGGAAATTATTAATATTACAATTAATGCCACAACATCCTTTATTATACAAAAAAAAAAAAAAAAAAAAAAAAAAAAAGCACAACATTTAAAAAATAAAATAGCTATATATTATATAATCATATAAAAAAATTTACTTTTGAAAAATAAAATAGCTATATATTATATAATCATATAAAAGATGTGTTCAATTAGACTTTAAATTTACACATACAAAATTTGAAATTTGTTTTCCAAATGTAATTATCTTAGTTATTATTCGTATTGTGGAAATTATAATATAGATGAAATACAATTAAGAATAAATCAATGTAATTATGTAAATTCTCTCTATAAGTTTATTTGAATATGCACATAATTAGAGATTATATTAATCATAAAAAATTTTAATCTTAATTTTAATTTTAATTTTAATTTTGTATTCTATAAAAATAATAAATACTTGACCAATAGAAGCTCAAAAATATTATTATATTAAATAATTTAAAATATTTTAGTTTTTCTATTTTTTATTTATATTTATAATAACATAATTTTTTCCCGTGCATCGCGCGGGTGAATTACTAGTGTGCTTAATACAAATATGGTAAAATTCTATTTCAACAATAACAAAATACTAATAAGCTAATTAATATTTCCTAAAATTCTATTTCAACAATGGTATAATTAACAAATTGAGTCACAAACGCAACAACAATAATATTAGTTGAAAAATAATATAATAAATAAATAATTAGTAAAATTTGATTTCTATGCCGTCTTGGAACGTAGCATTGCAAATGGGGCAGCAATTGGTTGTTCTCGCACAGTTATTGCACATGCAAAGATGGCGGCACGGCCATGCCATCATCGTTGCAGGCCCTCTCCAGCATACTTTGCAACTGATTCTAACCACCACCATTTGATCCGGGTCCAATGACGACGACTGTGCCTCCTCCGCCGCCGCCGCCCCATCGCCGCCGCCGCTGCCCCTCCGATGCGTGGCCTCGTGCAGGGCAGCATTGAGAGCCGCGTTGGTTTCCTTAAGAGCCGTGAGCCTCTCCGCCATGTCCATAGCTTGAGTTCTATAACTGGCAAGCATGGCTTCCAGTTCGCCGTTCTTCGTCCTCACTTCCACTATTTCTTCGTCCATCTCCTTCAGCTTCTTCGCCGCTTTTTCCTCCGCCGCTGTCACCACCGCCGCGTATTGCCGCTTGCACATTTCTTCTAGCATTTCCCTTACGCCATCGTTCTACATTATTCATGTTTATTATATATAGAGAGAATCAGAATGTTAATTACACCATGAATATCATGAAAGTAGCCATTACAAAAGAATAGGATGGGGTTGAGTTATTACATTACGCTTGAGAGCTTGATCGATGAAATCTTTATGGAGATTGGGGTTAGCCGGCGGAGGAGCGTCCTCCTTGAAGCCTTGCTCCGTCTGGGGCTGCGCGTGCGGCGTGACGCTTAATCGAAGGACGGTGTCAAAATAGGGCGGCGGCGCCCTGGACGACGACGCTTCTTCTGGCTGATCAAGACGGAAGTGCAGGTTCAACGGCGGCGGAGTGGGTAACAGCGGTGCCGGCGCCCTGGAAGACGACGCTTCTGGTTGTTCAAGATGCAACTGCAGGTTCAACGGCGGCAGTGGCGGCGGAGCCATCATCTGCTGAGGCGGAGTGGGGAACCGCCGCGGCGGAGATGGCATCTGCCGCTGCGGAGTCGAGAACCGCCGCGGCGGAGATGGCATCTGCCGCTGCGGAGTGGAGAACCGCCGCGGCGGAGATGGCATCTGCCGCTGCGGAGTGGGGAACCGCGGTGCCGGCGCCCCGAAACACGCTCCCGCCCCCGCCCTCTGATTCCGCGTAATGGGGAACCCTTGTGGCGGCGGCGAGTGCGTCATTTCACGATGACCTTCCGGCGCCTTCCTCTTGCGGCCACCGTTAGAAGAAGCGAGCATGTTCAGAGACGCCCTATGCATCATTTTTTAAATTTTTTTTCTCTCAAAACTCTTGCCGGAAAAAAGCAAGAAAATGGTGCGATTATAAAGAGGGAGAAAAGTTGGGTGGCAGCGGAGAGAGACAGACATACAGACGTATTGGTTCCGAGGGATGTATTTGTTCTCATCCGGCGGGAGTTTTAGGTCTTCAAATTCAATTTTATCCCATTTTAATTGACAACGGTCAAAATAAATAATTATTATTGGCGAAAATTTCTAATTTTTTGTGACAATTATGAATTATATCTAAATTTTTAAAAAAATATTTTACAATAAAATAATTACCAAACATTATAAAAAATTTGTGCGAGACCATCTCAACGTGAAACAAGTTTGGTCAAGATGAAAATGTAACACTAATTAGAAATAAAGTAAGGGCAAATGCAATACGTTTAAGGTAAAATGTATGATTTAAAAATATTACTTTTTTTCTTAAAAAATATTATATTTTTCCTTAGCTTATAAGTAACAAACACTTACCAACGTTACTTATTAAGAAAAATGTAATTTTTTTTTATGGAAAAAATATAATACTTTTACATCAAAATGTAAAAATATTATATTTTTTCTCAAAAGTATTACATTGTCCTTTATGAGTGACAAATAATTTATTCCTAACTAGTATTACATTTGAGCATAATATAAGTATGGCATTTGAGCATATAATTACGACATTTGTATGATGACCTGACCCCACAGTCTCACATATAAGGATCCGTGAGACACTCTGAGAGCCTTAAACATTATATCATCATGTCAACTTTATATTTAATTATATTATTTGACACTCAAAAACTTCAAATCTGTTGAGTAAGCTAGCTATAGTTTGTTGGTAATTTCATATTTGATCTTAATTTTTTTGTGTGCAGTGTGTGGAATTTTTTATTTATTTTTTTAAGATTTTAATTTTTCAACTTTTAGTTATATGAAGTGAATATTTTGGCCCAATTTCATAAAATAGTTACTCTATTAGTCATTTTTGATTTATTTGACCACTATTAGTTGCTTGACTTGAGTAAAGAGTAAATACCCAAAATGGTCCCTCGACTATAGCTAAATTCACAAATTGATCCTTGACTATTGATTTTAACCAATTAAGTCCTTAACTTTTTAGTTTTGACCCAATTAAGTCCTCCATCTATTTGACCGTTTGTTGACCGTTATCTTTAACCCCTACGCTCGACTTTAACAAGTCTTTCGCTGCTTCCTACCCCCTCCGTTGCCACCGCCAGCGGCGGCGCAGCCTCAGTTCGCTCCGCTGCTCGGCGTCGTCCTTCTCTGAGAAGCACCACATTGGATGTCCCAAATCGGATGACGTAGTTGAGTTCCCGCTTATGAAAGACATGATCCCATTATCCAACAGGCTTAACGGCAAGCCGGAAAAGGAGGTGCAAGATCTGCGGCGGAACCTTTTTCCGACGCTATTCTCGTTCTTCGTCAGAAGCACGTTGGAAGGCGCGTTTAGAGAACAGCAGGCATTGCTGGAGCTAAAAGAAACGACCATATTGCTAAAAAGGGAGAAGGAGCTCTGCAATTACATAAATATCCTCATAGATAACGGTCAACAAACGGTCAAATGGACGGAGGACTTAATTGGGTCAAAATTGAAAAGTTAAGGACTTAATTGGTTGAAATCAATAGTCGAGGACCAATTTGTGAGTTTAGTTATAGCCGAGAGACTATTTTGGGTATTTACTCTTGATTAAACAATCTATACGAGTATTTAATTAATTAGCTTTTTGTAACAACTTATTGTTCTAAAATGCTAAAATTCAAAAAGATGTTCAATGTTGCTTTTCGATCTTATATATTGAGAAACTCATTTTTTATGCAATAAGTTATCAACTAATTTGTCAAACACTTTTCTACAATCAACTAATGATGTCAACTCGTCAAACTCACTAATTCAATCAGTTAATAGTCATTTACTACACACCTACATTTAAGCAATGATTTTGAAATGTATAATTTGTATGTAATCAGTTAGGTCTTTTTTCTTGGATCAAATATTGTAATTGGATATAATTTTTATAACGTACGAAAGTAGGGTGTTGAATTTGAAAAATCTTAAAGATTTTTATATAATTGTTGTCTATAATTTGATATAAAATTTTAATATTAAATTACTTCAAAATTTACATTTTGCATATAATTATATTATCTCACGGCATAAGCATCTGAGTTCTTTCATCAATAAACCTTTTATGTAATGTTGTTTTAAATAATTTTTAAAATTTTGAAAACAAGATCCTCAGACTGAGTAAATTTAAATGTGTAGTTTTTTTCATTTGGTTTCAGTAGGTTGAGAAAATATATATGAACAGATATTACATGTAATATGGTCAATAATACTCAGATACTACTAGGGGTGTAAATGAGCCAAGCAGCTCGCGAGCCTCTTGCGAGCGGCTCGGTCAAAGTTCGACTCGAGCTCAGTCAAAATCAAGCTCGAGTCGAGCTCGAGCTGCTCGTTTAGTAATCGAGCTCGAGCCGAGCCTAGATATTCTAGGCTCGTGGCTCGTCGAGCCGCTCACGAGCCATTATAATATAATATAATATATATATATATATATATATATATATATATATATATAATACATAATACATAATACAATACAATATAATATAATATAATACTAATATATAAAAATAACAATTAGAAATTAAAATTTTAAACTCAAAATACCTAAAAAAAAATTCTATTATTTATGTATGGATAAAACGAAGTAGTTTTAATTTTACATCAAAAGTATTAAATAGGTCAAATTCAATGTCAAAATCGCGAGCCGAGCTCGAGCAGCCCGAAAATTACTGAGCTCGAGCTCGAGCTTGAGCATACCCAGGCTCAAGCTCGGCTCGGCTCGTTTACACCCCTAGATACTACATGTAATGTGGTCAATAGTAGAATGTGTAATTTTTTTTTTCTTAATATGATTTCTTTTTTTTTTTTTTGAAAACCAAAGAAACAAACTTCATTAAATCAAACATTCAATACATTGAGGAACAGAATCAACAAAGCAAATCGGACCAGAACAAGAACGAGCCGCCCTAGCCATAGCATGAGCAACTGTATTCACTGATCGTGAAATGAACTGAAGAGACATTGAATCATAGTCTCGTTGAAGCTCCCAGCACTCATTGAGAATACATCCTGTATACGTATAGTCCGACAAAGAATCCTTAAACAAATTACACACCGTCTGACAATCAGAAAACATCTTCACTTTCGTAAAATTCAACTCCTTAACTCATGATAAAGTTTCTTTGACCGCCATTGCTTCAGCCAAATGAACATCATCAAGACGATGGAGGGGGCCATGTTTTGCCGCAATGAAATCACCACTCACCTCCTTAATAATAATTCCAAAGCTTGCTTCATGAGTGGTTGGAAAAACAGCAGCATCCACATACGCCTGTACAAAATTAGAAGGTATAAAGTGAGTTTGGGATTGTGGTGTCAAATGCTCAACGACAAAAAAAAAAAAAAAAAAAAAAAAAAAAAAAAAAAAAAGGTAAATAAAAACAATCAAATAAGGATGGATGGAATTGTTTTTTTTTTTTTTTTTTTTTTTTTTTTTAATTCACTTGTTGTATTCAAAATGAGTTAATTCCAGTAATGGTCTTCTGACTATATTGATTTTTCAAAATTAGTCATCAATTTTTAATTTGGACACTTTACGTCCCTTGGCTTTCAATTTTTTTCCAATTGAGGTCCTTTCGTAAGATTAAAGTAAATTAGACTTTAAATGAAAGAGTAAAATAGTCATTTCATCTGCCTAATGTATAATTCTTCGTATTTCTCCCTTGTATGCGCGACTTCGGACATCATATTCATTTAATTGCCAAAAATTTGCCAAAATTGATACCTGAATTGAAACAACCTGTAATAGCAGGTCATTTACTTGTTCTTGAGCTTCATTGACTCAATTTAACATCTTAACGGGTGTAATTGTACTTTTTCAAAATTTAGAGACCTAATTAACTTTTCAGGTAAAATTTAAAGCTATGTTTATTTGACCATTTTCCCTTTACTGTTAAAAACCCAACATTACCCCTATCTTAATTACTTTACCCAAATTCACGCTCACAATTAATAAATAAAAAATAATAATTTTAAAAAAAATCTATTTTTACATACCATTAATCTCAAGTTTTAAACAAATCAAATCTATCCAGACGGACTCATGTGGAGTGGATGCCTCATTTGATCATCCGTTTATATATATATATATATATACTCTATGTTCCATTTTATCTGTCGTACTTACTATTTATTGGTTAAACCAATTCTTTCTATTTTGTTTATTTTCTTTAGTATTATTTACTTATTTTTAAATTTAATTTTTTTGTGTTTAATAGTACTTTTAGTATAGTTTCTAAATATACAAATTTTGTATAAAAATATTAAACTTAAATATTATAAAAAAATTGAATTAAAAATAATTTCAGTCACCGTTAACAAGAAACATATAAAATGAGACGGAGGGAGTATATATATATATATATATATATATATATATATATATATATATATATATATATATATATATATATATATCATTCCACGTAGTAGTGTAGTACAGACATTTTATCTCGCATGTACTAATCTCCTTGGGTGTAGTACTGTCATCGTACTGGCGCATGTAAACCACACTCCACTGCTCACCGAATCCCGTTCCGTTTAGCAGACAAGACACCATTTTTCCATTCTCTCGACAAACACCCAGATGATGGCGGCTACAGCTTCTGCAAATTCCCTTTCGTCTGCCTTCTTTTCTCGCCAAAGTCTCCTCTCTCTCTCTCTCGCTTTTTCCGAATTAATGAAATATTATATATGCATCATACGCTGATGGGTTCTGTCCGTTTCGCAGGTTTTCCGGTGAGCTCAAACCATAACTTCAAATGTGGAAAGATAGAGGTAACTTTATGTGTTTTGTGTCGATGGCATATTAGGGAAAGATTCAGTTAGAAATGGGTGGTTTTTT